GCAGGAATATGAGATAAGACGTTTGTGGAAGCAAAACCAGCACATTGTGGAGAGTGCAAAGCCAGAACTTCTTAAAACCTATTTACACAGCAGCATCTGTAACCCTGGAGGAGTCACTCAGCTCTCAGAAGACAACCCAAGTGTTTCTTTGATTTGATCACGCTTACAGGAACACGAAAGAAAGATGCGACTGAGCAAGCAGGAAAGTTAATTATGTAGAAGTGCTGTAAACCTGGCACACTAAGCACTCCACGTCTGTGAACATTCACAAAAACCTTCAACTTGCAGGAGTTTAAAACCATAACACATTGGAGAGCTTCAGGTGAGAACCCTGAGGAGCTCTCTCAGGTACCTTCATTCAGTTCATCCTCTGTTTTATCCTCTAACAGGGAAATGAATGCATCAGACAAATGCAAGAGCCCAGAATGAACAGAAAAGGGTCGTTTCCCGGTTCAGTTTTTGCAGTTTGTTTTGTATCATCCCTTTCATTGCTTCAATTTGCTTTAAACCTACTCCGGCAGTTGTACCCTGTGATCCGATTCCTCAACCAGCACATCCATCTCTGACACAGATCATGGTATTTTCTAGGGAGTTCAACCTAGTTCTGCTCATAATCACCCAGCATTGGTCTATTTTCCGGGCCTGCCTCCCCGATAACATCGCATTATGTTCACGTTGTGTTGTTGATCGTTTGGCTTTAGGCTTATTCTCTACTTCAAATATCTCCCATTTCAGAACAACAAGTCTGTTTTACTCCATCACCAACCAATCTAGTGTCAGCACGCATCACTTTTTAAAACAAGAAGGATCAATATGTTTTCCCCTTCTATAAAAAAATTACTCTTTCAAAGCTCTTTTCCTCCCAAATCACTCAAAAAAACCCTCTCCACCACCACGCTCAGCTCCATCAAACCACGGCGCTGCCTTTCGCTCTGCCCAAGAGCCTTCACCTCCTCCGTACAAACCCCATCCTCTTTGAACGCTGACAGACTGGGAGTTTAATGCTTTGCAGAGCCCACATCTTCAGTGCACGTTAAGAGGATACCTATCACAATGAGCTGCTCCTCTTCAGGCAGGAGGAACGCACAGACCCCTGCTAGGCAATAAAACAGACCACGCGTACCTCTTGCTCTCTCTTCCTGCACGGGGATTCTCCACACCAGGGGCAGAAGCGACAGCAGGAGGGTCAGCAGCTCTTCCCGACACGTCAGCTCCTGTGGTGGAAACGGAACAGAAACAGAAGTCTCTGTACTTGTTCAAAACAGCTTAACCCTCTTTATTCTACACAGCCATAAAGCATTTGATTCCCTACGCCTTTCTGCTCTCCTGTGCACTGAACAGGGTGCTACAACCATTCACTAGGGCCTTCCAGAAAGCACCCAGGACATTTACTCTTCTACAGGTGTATCTGCACAAAGCTCTGCTCACCTTTCTGGTTGAAGAAATTCCAAAGAGGAAAACCAGAAAAGCCAACAGCAATTTACTTGCTGATTTAAACAAGGCCAACGTGAAGCCCAAGAGAAGTCTGAAACTTCTGTCGTTATGAAAAATGCAACTTGGAAGAACCTCATGGGACGCCTTCTGCTTTCTCCAAAGCGATGCTTTTAGGCAAATGAAAGAGATTACCTTTATCAAGCAATGTCATTGACTTGCAGTAGGAAGGTGAAGTTTTTATGGGAGGAACAAGGAGCTTACTCCTAATTCAAAAAAACAGAATATCCACTAAAAAACCTCACTCATCGATCTATATAGCTATATAATCTATATAATAGTTTATAGCAGGTCCAAGGAGGTGATCATCCCCCTGTACTCGGCACTGGTGAGGCCGTACCTCGAGTGCTGTGTTCAGTTGTGGGCCCCTCACTAGAAGGAGGATGTGGAGATTCTGGAGCGTGTTCAGAGCAGAGCCACAAGGATGGGGAGGGCTCTGGAGAACAAGCCTGATGAGGAGCGGCTGAGGGAACTGGGCTTGTTTAGCCTGGAGAAGAGAAGGCTGAGGGGAGACCTCATCACCACCTCCAACTGCCTCAAGGGAGCTTGTGGAGAGGTGGGTGCTGGGCTCTTCTCCCAGGTGATGGGGGATAGAACAAGGGGAAACGGCACCAAGCTGTGCCAAGGGAGGTTCAGGTCAGAGCTAAGGAGGAAGTTCTTTACTGAGAGGGTCGTCAGAAGCTGGCACAGGCTGGGCCGGGGGGGGGGGGGGGGGGCCACACC